CCATTTAGGCATACACATTTGTGAGCCAAGTGGTAAGGGTGTTCGTCAAGGCTGCGCGGGGGCCCCCATCCTTTGGGCTGTCCTCATGGCTCGGTTTCTGCAACGCCTCGCCCAAAGTGTTCCCACTGCCTGGATCAAACGTTGTCTCAATATTTTTGCTGATGACCTTCAGGGGGGGAGTACGTTTCGCAGTGACCTCGAACTTCGTGCTTGCTTGCGGTACTTGGGCATGGTCATAGACTGCCTTGAAGACCTTGGCTTGACAGTTAATCCCGTGAAAACTGTTGCTCTGTTACAGCTTGGTGGTGTCCAACACCGGAAGTGGCAAGCCTTGATCACGAAACGTGGGGCCAATGGAGCCTACCTGCTTTTGCCTCGGAAAAATGGCAGCGTGCGGGTGAAGCTTGTTTCCTCTGTTGTTTACCTTGGTGTTCGTGTTTCATATGCGGCTTTTGAACAGTCCACGCAATCTATGCGCACCAGTGCTGCCCATTCCTCAGCCATGTCTCTTAGTCGTTGGCTCTACAGCAAACGTCGTTTGCCCTTTCGTACTAGGCTTGGTTTGTGGCAAACATGCATCATACCATGCGCTGAGTATGGGTTGTTGGCGGTAGGCCTCACGCCTAAGGTCATTGCACGACATGTGACTTGTCTCATGAAGCAACTTCGCATCATTACTGGCAATCAATCTTTTCACACACGTGATAGTCACCTTGCCGTTTTGCACGCCTTCGGTCTTGAGCATCCCATTGAGTCTCTGCGCCGTTCTGCTCAGGCTCGGCTTCGTCAGCGCGATACGGATCTGTTGATGTTGGATGCGCGCGACATTGTTGTGAGTCACTCATGTTATTCCATTGACGCCTCCCTCCAAGTGATTGATCGCTTCCGTGAGGCCCTGTACTCGAGTTCTCCTTCTGACTTGCCAGCTCTGCCCTCACAGACAGGCCTGTCTTGTCACATTTGTCATGCCCTGTTCACGGATGTGTCTGACCTTCACCGACACTTCACACGCGTGCGTGCCATGTTTAGTTGCCCGCAAGTTGTCGATTATGCTAAGCATGCTGTGGAAGGTCTGCCGGAGTGCACACACTGTTTGAAGAAGTTTGATTGCTGGAGCACCTTTCGTCAGCACATCACTCAGAAACGCTGTTATGCCAGACCTTTTGCTTTGGCCATTGAGTCTAATGCCACTCATGCCATCCCTGCTGTACTGTGGCGTGAGCTGACCTCGTTTTGTAAGTATGATGATACTGAAACACTCCCTCATGCACAATCAACCTTGGATGACTTCTTTGTTGCAACTCCGTGCACTCAGGCTATGAATCTCTCAGCCCTCCGAGCAAGAGTGGCTCACTTCGTCCATGGCGATCATTGGCGTGATCTGCAACAAGATCGAGAGGCCTGTGACTACTTGGCTCATCATTGTCTCCGGTGTGGGCGTTGGTGCACTCGCAGTCGTGATCTGATAGTTCACTTGCGGGAGGCCCATCCACAGATCTTGATCCCTGGTATTGATCAGATGATTGCACTTCAGAAGAACCATGTAAGGAGCTCACCATGCCCCTTTTGCTCACTATCGTGGAAACAACAGCATGGATGTCCGATTTTGCTTCAGGCAGCTATCCTGCAGGCCGAACTGGCCACCTCCGCCCCGGCAGTTATCGTCCCGGCGGACTCTGCCCATGCCTCAACTTAAACAGACCCTCTCCTGGAAGTGTCATCTGTGCTCCCAGAGCTTTGGAGCCAGGGTTCAATTGACAACTCACCTACAAGAACATCAACAGCAGCTTCATCGATATGATCCCAAACGAGATTCGGTTGAAGGTGAACCTGCATGCTCACATTGTGGCCTTCTAGTGACCTCTATGGATGCCTTGCGGTATCACATCACCAAGGGGCATTGCAAGCACTTTGACCCCCGCAAGCATGTTCCTGAAGTTGCCATCAGCCGGACCTCAAGGCTGCCCTGCTGAGTGGCCGCCTGGGACCTTATCTTCGAGAAGCAGGTGCTCGCACTTTCTTGACTGTCCAGTGCTTGTGCTGTGGCCGTGCATTCGCTGGAGCTCGCGAACTCTCTAGGCACCTGCAAGACCGGCGCTCCATCCTCTGGAACGATGCTCTTCACCTTGGCCTCAGCCTCAAGCAGGTCATTAGCCCACTCACTGGGTGCATTTGCAATCCAGCAGTTGCCACCATGACCTCACGACATGAATGTGTGGGCCTCCGTCAACTTGCCATGACTCACCTTCGATTGCATGACACACTTCTGGTCCCTTGGATCTTTGACATGGACATGCTCCAGCAGCTTCTCCGCCCAGGCGCTTTGCCTGCTCACCTGGTCACCGACATGTCCACCTGGCTTATTGATCGACAGTTTCATAAGCTGTGGCACTGCACTGAATTGATTCAGCTTCTCAGTTCCAGATGCTTTATGTGTGACTTTCGGGGATTTGGTACAGATCTGCAAGTGCACTTGTTAGCTGAGCATCATTGCCAAGAACGAGGTTTGATGATGTTTGTGCATCAGATCGTTCGACTGTTGACCGCTGTCCCTGATGAGCCCTCGGGCTGCTCTTTCTGTGGCATGGCTCGAGACGATCTTCAGGCGCACTACCTTGCCTGTCCAACGCTGATCCAGATCTCGTCACTGCTGTCCCTCCCGCTTCATGAGCGATTTTGGCTTGGAGTCCATGGAGGACGCTTTCGCGGAGCAATCATTGGCGGCGCTCCAAGGTTGGGGCCAGTCGGAGGCCATGGAAAGAGATCCGGAGCAGCTCAAGAGGGCCAGAACCGGCCAAAACAAGCGAGACAGGCAGACGGTGGAGAGGGAGCCTCCATTGCGAGATCTCATTCGAGCAATGGGTCATCTAGTGCTGCGCCACGATCAGGACCTCCAGGTGACGGCACAGCAAGACACATTCATACTCTTCTTGGTTCCAAGCCAAGAGGGCAGCATCCCTCTCCTTCAGACAGCGCACAAGCAATGGACGGATCTTCGAGAGAAACCTTGCACCCTCCGCACGCACCTGATCTTGGCGCTTCTGAGAGAGTTGCAGAGGAGGCTTCTCAAGCTGATGAATTGCCCCGAGCAAGATCCACTACGGGTCACCCTGGTGAAGAATTCCATCCTCCTCGAGGATCAGACATGGCCCTACACACAGTGGGATCCCAAGGAGAAGAAGCTAGTCTTATCCAAGGTCAAGACGCCCTTGACCATGACTGCTCAAGAATTGCTCGAGGAACTCCTCACCCTGGTCAAGGAGGAGGGAGCGATCCAGAAATTTCACTCCCTGGGGAAGCAGGACGCATCGAAAAGCCAACCCTGGAAGCTTCAGGTGGGGATGCGCAACGATCGGCTTCACAAGCTGATGACCTCGTGCTGCCACCTGAGTTTGATGCAGATTGCAGGCCTCCAGATGAAGCCTCACAGCCTGAAAGCCTCGCCACTTGCCTCGAAGATCAAAGACATGCTCACCCGCCTGTGATCTGCGCAGAGCGAGGACAACTGGCTGTGACCGTGGCCTCTTGGATCATGCAAAATCCAGCCAACCATTGCTATGTCAACTCATCTATGATTGCACTGGTTTGGGCCTGCATACACCGTCAGCACTTCACTTTTGATGATTGGGGTGTCCTTCAAGGGGGGTTGAAGGCTATGCTGCAATGTGGACCTGCTCCATTTTTGGTCCTGGCTTTGAGACCGTTCCAGGACCACCTTGCTGCTTGGGATGGAAGTCGGCAGCACGACGCTGCTGAATTCACCACCTTTCTCATGTCCAAGATGGATCAAGCTGCTGTATACAGTATGTGGGAGAGACGCTTCGCCCGCGATACTGGAGTGGTAAAAAGGCATGCGCATGCCCTGGGAGCTCTTTTGCTCCACCTTAGAGTGATGCCTGAGCCGATTCATTCATTGAGTCATCTTGTTGAGAATTGGCACACGGAGTCAGGCATGATCACTGCTTTTTCGCACCTTCCTTCCATGATTTGCCTGCACTTGGACCGCCTCAGACCGTTGGCAGGTAATCCACATGGCCAGAAGCTCGTTTCCAAGGTGCTGCTTGATACTGTGTTCAGGATTCCACACTTTACAGGTGATGGCATCCAGATTGACTCTTTCGACTACGTTCCAATTGCTGCAATAGCGCATCTGGGACAGCCTGGATCCGGGCACTACAGGGCGGCTTTGAAGTCTCTCGATCCCTCGACTCCTACTGAGTGGCTTCTGAGCGATGATGATGTGAGTGCTGTCCCCGTTTTGGGACTGCCTGGGTGGTTTGAGACACAGGTCATGATGGTCTGGGCACTTAGGAAGCAGGATTTGTGCCAGTCCTCGGTGCATTTTGAGACCCCTCGGGAGGTGCCGGCCATCGATAGGATGTTGGCACTTTTCGCTGATGTTTGAACTGGCCACTTGAGAAGTGGCTCTTGCAAGTGATCTTGGATCACGAAAGACTTCCTCAGGAAGCCGTGACAATGTCACGACAGGATCGCGCAAAGTACGCCTGAGAGCACTTGGCGTCCGAAAGTCCAAAAAGTCCAACCCAAGAGCAATGGCCTCCAACCTAAGAGCAATTGCCTCCAACCTAAGAGCGATGGCCTCCAAGCTAATAGCGATGGCCTC